GCAACAGACACAGAGTGGAACCAACACTCTCACAAGCAGGCCTTGGAAGAATAAAAAAAATATATTATTTTTAAAAATTCTTTATTTAACTGGAAATCACCAAATTAAAATCCTTTGACTCAATCATATTTCTGCCAAAACATTAACAAAAGAGGCTTGCCATTCTGGCGTGTGTGAATTTCTACTTACTACCCAGAAAGCCAGTGTTTCTTCACAAGCAGTAGAAATTCTTCAGCAAGCAGAGGGGGAAAAAAAAAAATTCTGTGGTAATTACAGGCCATAGTGTCCCCTCTCCCCTGTACCTGATCTAGGGGAGGAATACATCCTCACAACCTCAAGTCATCGCAGGAGTCTTACCACCAAAGGTAAAGGCAGAACTTCCCCAGCCAACTGCCTAAGTAGCACCAGATGTGCTTCTGAAAGTGCAGGACTACTGGATTCGTTAAATTGGCTTTTTGAGAGAGGTCTGATGTGCTGTGTTCCTCCTCCACTTAAAAAGCAAAGTTGTCTTTTTTCAGTTCAAGAGATAAACACATTTATCTCCAGTTCAAAAAATTTTGGTCTAGACTAAAAGTAAGCAGACAAAATCCGACAAATAAAAAGAATTAGAAACGTCTGTTGGCTGAAGGTACTTTGAAAACCATTGTTTTTAATAAATGCACCAGTAACAAGCCAGACAGCTGAAGGAACATTCAACATTATAAATGCATGTCAGACTGTCTTGTAGCTCATCAGCAATGTAGTCAATACAACCAACATAGCTCAGAGAACTAACGAAACCAATTAAGCATCTACTTTTAAATTATATCATTAGTTGGCTCTCTAAGCTTCACTGATGGTTTTGAGTAGATCCTCACTGACTGAAATGAGAACTTAATCTAACTCTCATGAAGACACTTACACTAGAAGGCACTGACACCTGACACCCAGATAACAGCATTCACAAGTAACCGTTGAGGACTTAAGTTTCAAGTAAGTTTTATAGTACTATTCCAATTTTTTCTTTTTTTTTTATCACATTGAACTGAAGATAGCATTAACTGAACAAGGCCTACAACTAGGATCTTCCCAACAAAGTGGTATTTTATAGAAAGGAAGCATCTACTCATAAAAGTATCTTCAACAAACAGGCTGCTTCTCTCTTTACTTAGAGCAAACAATGCCCTTCAGAACACATGTCGTGGTTTAACCCCAGCCAGCAACTAAGCACCATGCAGCCGCCCACTCACTCCCCCCCCATCCAGTGGGATGGGGGAGAAAATCAGGAAAAAGAAGTAAAACTCGTGGGTTGAGATAAGAACAGTTTAATAGAACAGAAAAGAAGAAACTAATAATGATAATGATAACACTAATAAAATAACAACAGTAGTAATAAAAAGACTGGAATGTACAAATGATGCGCAGGGCAATTGCTCACCACCTGCCGATCGACACCCAGCTAGTCCCCGAGCGGCAATTCCCCCCCCACACTTCCCAATTCCTATACTAGATGGGACGTCGCATGGTATGGAATACACCGTTGGCCACTTTGGGTCAGGTGCCCTGGTTGTGCCCTGTGCCAACTTCTTGTGCCCTGGCTGGGCATGAGAAGCTGAAAAATCCTTGACTATAGTCTAAACACTACTGAGCAACAACTGAAAACATCAGTGTTATCAACATTCTTCACATATTGAACTCAAAACATAGCACTGTACCAGCTAGTGGGAAGACAGTTAACTCTATCCCAGCTGAAACCCGGACAACACATAGCAAGGAACAAACTTGCATTGCAAAATAGATTATAAAATGACTAGTGACTACCACACACTATTGCTTTTCAAAAAAAAAAAACAAAACCCAAAACAAAAAAACAACCAAAACACCACATTACTGTGAATACAAATATTTATACAAAAGGGAACAGCACTGCCCTTCATACCATGTTCATATGGTGAAAAGGTTCCAGCATCTATGTTTATATAAGGATCAATTTTGATTGCAGTGACACGTAGACCACATGATTTCAATATGGTGCCAATGCTGCTTGCAATGATCCCTTTGCCAATGCCCGAGATGACACCACCAGTTACCAGGATGTACTTCATTGGAAAATCAGCACAAGCACTGATCTCGAGCTGGAAATCTAAAATGACAAAGACATACATCTGATGAATGCAAATTCATGTCAGGGAAGAACACAGCCTCGGTATGCAAAGACTCTAAGTTGAAACGACCTTTGGGAACAGACAACAAAAACGACCATTTTGGAATCTGGGAATAGGATTCATCTCTCCCAACTTACACACCAATATGTAAGCTAAGCACCTAAATCCACTCTGCAGTCAGTGGAAAAACAGATACCCTGTGGAGATGCCAGAGGCACAGTTCATCTGACATATTCCTGTCCCGTGACAGGAAAAGCCAGCTACCTTTTAGAACCACAAGTTAGGCAAGATGAAGCTCACCCTGGATTCCTTCTAAATTAGTTAATAATTTCACATTTGTTTTGAGAAGTTAGCTCAAAGATTGTTCATTGCTACATTAGCCAGAACACTCTCATTCTCTACCCAGTAGCTTTACTTTCAAAAATAGTGACTGTAGCTTCAAACATCTATTAAAATCAGAACGTTATACTATCCACTCATTTTTCAGCAGCTTTCACTTCTCCAACTCACAGTGCCTCAAGTATTTCACCAAAAGTCCTACAATATCCTACAGATCAATGGAACATGAGACCAGGAAGGAAAAACTGAACCAAAATGTCCATATCTGTACTACAGTACATTACTGTTCAAAAGCCTAGAGTTCTTCATTCACATGCCTACCCATTCTCCCTCTCCAAGTAATTACTGTGAGAGAAAAATCAGAAAAGAATCATTTAGCATCTCTGGACTATGATGCAGAGTAAGTGTTGATGCTGTACTAGAAAACAATATTGTATCTGTTTTAAGTTTTCAGATTTAGAGAAACACCTGATGTTAGGACACTCATTAGTTAGCATCATGCATTCAGAACAGCAACCCTGGATAGAGTAGCTCTGAGACCTAATGGCATGGCCAACTTGTCAGAGTCTGCTTCCCTGTCTAGACCTCAAAATAAATGCTTCTTCACAGGAGAGGACTATGAGTACTCACAAACACTATACCCTGAGGATAGAAAGGTGATAGTTAATGCATATTATGGTGCTGAAGCCTTGATCAGATACAACATCATTATTTCACAGTGCTCTACAATAGTACTAGCATAAGCAACAATGGCTATTCAGATACAGAAACTTCCTCTCTTGAAAAGTTGGTTCTTTATAAGAAGCCTGGATAATTAAAACTGAAAAAAAAAAAAAAAGGGACCTGCTATGAACTAAGAGATTCAAATATCATACTTGGTAAATCATGACTGCAGGGGGAATAATCTAATAGATGCTAATATGGCTATGCCACCTTGCACTGTGTACGAGTACGAACGGTAAGGGATCCAGAACTACTAAAAAAAGATGAGGAGGAGACCACCCCCTAAAAATTCTTCTAATTACTATCCTAACTAAAAACTCTTCCATCACCCTTCTTGTTGCTATAGTCTGCTGTCTGCATCGACTGCTGTTGATGTTGTCCCTGCTAGTCTCCTACTTCATCTGCCTTTCACACAAGCATAGATTTTTGCCGCCATTTCTCCACCCCACCTGAAACAGGATGATGTTGTGTGTATCTCATCCATAATTGTATTCACGTTACCTTCAGGCAGCCGTAGAGGCTAATCGCTGGAATAATTTTTGAACAATGACAGCATGGCTCACCACAGACCAAAAGTTCTAGGGTCAAGAAAATCTTTCCTTACTTAAGCACCTAATTAATCCAAAACAACATGCAACAGCACATGATCTAACAGCACTCAGTATAAATCAAGCAGTATGGTTCTTCAATGTCTGGCAGTAAGCAGCAGCTAGTGAATGAACATTTTAACTCTTCCTCTTAGTACACTAAGTAACATAAACAAAGGCCTGGGTCTTCAGGGAACAGAGTTCAAGAACATAACAATGCTTGTTTTCAATGCTCTTCTACTTCTTGATAATAGGCATTAACAAATTATTATTTCCTTGTCAATATGGACAAAAGGAAGACCACAGACATCAAAAGTATTTAACTCGGGAGAAAATGACCATCAGGAATTAACTTTCCCCCGCCATTTAATTTTAATATGTCATTTTTTTTAATAGCCTAGATTTTAAGATTTGGAGCCTACCTCCTGTGTTTCAGGCTCCTCCTTCACAAACCAGCTAATGTAGTTGTCAACACTAACATTTCATAATCACCTAACCCATTTTCAAAGCTATGTTCAGAAAAAGAAGGGGGGAGAAATTATTTCAACAGCAGGTGTAAGCCTTGAGTACGTGCAACTTCAAAACCCTTAAGCCCCATCACCTTGCCTACAGGAACCGAAATGAAAAGCTCGCTAGGATTTTAGCAAGGACAGCCATTTCCCAGAAGCTTAACACAACGTTCACTTGCGGCAGAAGCAAAGAATTCCAGGTGGTTTGGGAAGCGACTCGCAGAAGAGGGAGGAAACGGAGTTAGGGGAGGGGAAGCAGAGACAGAGTACTGCATGTTGCTGGGACCGGACAGCAGCAGCAGCGGAGAGGAACGCGAATTACTCCCTTCGGTCGTCTCGACGGGAGCTGGCTGGCTCCAGCGGGGACTTCGAGCGCTCCACCGGGAACTCCGCACCGGCCGAGCCCGGGCGAGGGGGTGCCCGGGAGAGGGGCTGCCCGAGGGCGGCCGCTGAGCGAAGGCCGGGCCGGGCGGCAGGACGGCGGAGCAGCGAAGGAAGGGGAGCGCGG